CCCAGACCCCAGCCCCCTCCCCAGGTACCCGCAGGCTCTGCAGCAGGTCGTTGATGATCCTGGCCGCGTGCTCGCAGCGCTCAGGGGGTCCCATGATGTGGGCGATTTTCTCCGGCCCCGTCCCATCGTCTGCGGGGTTTAGGGGGGGTCACTGGGGGTCCCCACACCCCCGGCTCAATGGGGAGGGGTCTTTTTTATGGGGCGGGAAGGGGCTCCCCAAACCTTGCTTGAACTGGATCCGCACCCCGGCATCGTTCTGGATCTTCTTGATCATCTCCCCGCTGCGGCCGATGACGACCCCGACCGAGTGTCGCGGCACCGGCACCTGGGGGAGGTCGGGGGCATCTGAGGGTCCTGACCCCCCTCGGGAAAAGGGCTTTGGGGTTTTGGGTGAAAAACGGGCGTTTTTGGGTAAGAGAATGTGAGTTTCAGGATAAAAATGAGGCTTTTTGCCTTGAAACTGGAATTTTTTTCATGTTAAAAAATGAGATTTTTTTTTTATTTTTTTGGCTTAAGAGCGAGGGTTTTTATTGAAAAACAGGATTTTTTCAAACTCAAAGGTTTGTTTTTGATTGGAAGCTAATAACTTTTAAACGGGAAAATGGGATTTCTTTCAAAAGCATGCGAGTTTAAGAATGAAGAATGATGGATTTGAGGAAAATGGGATTTCTTTCAAAAGCATGCGAGTTTAAGAATGAAGAATGATGGATTTGAAAAGTCACATTTTTTTTTTGAGCAAAATTTTGGATAAAAGAATGTGAGTTTCAGGATAAAAATGAGGCTTTTGCCTTGAAACTGGGATTTTTTTCATGTTGAATAATGAGATTTTTTGGTTTTTTTGGCTGAAGAGCGAGGGTTTTTATTGAAAAACGATTTTTTTCAAACTCAAAAATAAAGATTTGTTTCTGATACGATTTTTTTCAAACTCAAAAATAAAGATTTGTTTCTGATTGGAAGCTAAAAAGTTTTAAACAGGAAAATGGGATTTCTTTCAAAAGCATGCGAGTTTAAGAATGAAGAATGATGGATTTGATTTGAAAAGTCACATTTTTTTTGAGCAAAAAATGGAGGCTTAGCTTGGTGTTTGTGAAAATTCCCACAAAAACTTGGAGTGAAAAATGGGATATTTGGGGTGAAACATGGGGTGGTTGGGTTTGAAAAATGAGGTTTTTTTGGGGTGAAACACAAGAGATTCTGAGATGAAAAATGGGATTTTTTTGTTTGCTGAGAGGAATTTTGGGGTGACAAAAGGGGATTTTGGGGGCACACTCACATCAATGCCCCCGCCCAGGCGGGCGCCGTAGTCCGAGCGCTCTCCGAAGCCGCCCTGGTCGCGCTCCCGAAGGATGTCCAGCACCATCTCACAGGCTTGCTGGGAACGGGGGGGTTTGGGGTCACTCTGGGGTCACTTTGGGGTCACTCTGGGGGTGTTTCCAGCTGAGGTTTGGGCTCCTCTCACCTGCACCTTGTAGGGCTCCCCGATGATCCGCAGGGGTTTGTCCACGTTGGTGTTTTGGGAACCGTCTTGGATCAGGATCATCTTCACCCCCGCCCGTTCCTGGGGGGGC